CCCCGCCGTTGTTTCTGGGTAACGCTAAAAGTAAAAGTATGAAAACTTCCGCTCTTTCAATTGCCGACGACAAATGAGGAGGTTTTTAGAAAAAAAGATTTGACCTTGAAATAACCTTGAAGGACACCAACAAGGTCGAGTTTGAGGTCACCACTAATTGCAATTAAACAAAATAACTAAAGTCAGCTATTTTCATCAACTGCGTTCTTCGAAGATATCCAGTCCTCAAAATTAAATAACCTTTGAATGACCTTTAAGGTCAACCACGATTTATGGCCTTATAATGTTTTTGGACGTAAAATTTCCTGCTCTTTCGATTGCCGACGTCAAAAAAGAGGGTTTCCATTTAAAAAAATTGAGCTGACCTTGAAATAACCTTCAAGGTCATCGTCAAGGTCAAATCCAAGGTCACCATTGAATTCCTCGTCAAAAGTTACTACAAGAGTGACCTTAACATTTTTCAAAAATAATTTACCTGGGAAATTATTCAGGTGTTTCCAGACTTTTTGGACACCATGTATAATAAAAACTATATGTAGCTTATGTATGTATATGCAATTTTATTTTATTGTGTGTGAAACAGGAGGTTTCCTACTAAAAATAACATTAAGTTGCGCGAAGCAGAAAATCTAGAAAAATTACAAAGAGGGGAGACAATCAAGCAAGATCGACATGTTTTTAAAACAACGAGAATGACAAATATGCGTGGAAAGAAGCGCAAATCACACAAACAATTAACACGAAAACCTGATGATTATCCTCATGCAGATGAATTATATAAAGGTTTACGCCCATTTCCTGGAATAAGTAAGTTATATGAATATACGAATATATTTTTGCTTTATATTATTTGTATGTTATGTAAAATTTAATTTGTATTAAATATTAAATTTCTTTTTTCTTGCATACACAAGATATTGGATAAAATTTATTTTTCACTATAAGTATCATTGATATTTTACAGATATTTATAATTTGCAAAAGGAAAGTTCTAATGAAATATGCCTCGATAAAGAAACGGAACAAATGAATTTACCAGAAATAACCAGTGATATTTCTGATGAAGATGAGGATACACCGCAAGTATTTATGGAGTCCAAACCTAATTTATCTACATTTTCTTTAGTAGCAAATTACGAAAGCGAAGAAGAGGGTAAATATAGACAAACCTAATTATTCTTGATATAATGAAATATTCCATACAATATCTTTCAAAAAGCTTTCTGAAAGATAATTTGGAAATTATATTTAAATATAACATTGAAATAATTCAGAAATATTTGTGAAACATTTTATCAAAATTTTTTTGATTGAAATATTTCAGAAATCGTTTATAATAAGCGTGGATTTATACATTTATACACACATTTAGTTAATTTAATTAAATCTTATATGGTTAGGTGTATTTTTTCTTTTTTTTAATTGTACTCTTTTATAATTACCCAAAGTTTTTAGTTTTTTATGACTTTACCTATTTAATAATAGTTAACAATAAAAAAAATATTTACTATAAAAATTTTAAGATAACGAAATGGAATGTGCGGAATTTTGTAGACCTCATCTTATTACCTAAGGATTAAATTAACAATAAAAGTACGAAAAATATAATTTTTATAATTAAATCATTTTATTAAATCATATTATCAGAAAATTATATTACTGTGTTAATTACAACACATATAGACAAAATGTAAGACGTTTATATCGATCAAAGAAGTGGTGTAGTGTCTAAATCAACAGACCACCAGTGCCAGTAAGAATTTTTAAATATGATGTAATATTGAAATCAAGTAATCTAAAATTTTCAAATAAAATCAGCAAACACTGACATTTGCAAATAGTTTTTAAATATAAAAATACAAATAGTTTTTGTACATAAAAAAAATGTTTGAAATATTTCCCATATATTTTTTAAACATTTCAATAATATTACAGATATATTTTATAGTATATCATAACGGACATTTTATGTATCTAAAAGATATCTAAAACATGTCTGAAATATTTCTTTGAAATATTTCATATTTCATTGCTTTTTGAAATATGTGTGGGATATTATATTTTCAATATATGTTTATGAAAATATGTTTATTCAATATCCTTTATGAAAATATTTCGAAACTTATGTATTAGGACCTTAACTTAGTTTCCGCCCGCAAATGTTAGATGGCAATGCAAACAGTTCTAGTAGTCATTACTAACGAAACAGGTAGTTTGTGATTAATTTCGACATTTCTCGATAACATTCAGTCAGCATACACAATTATTTTCCTAAACAACAATTTCTTTTGCTTTGTGAAAAATGGAACGCGATAAAGTGTTTTTTCGACATGTGCTTTTGCACTATTTT